AAAGTCATCCACGATTTCTCCACATGTCAGAGATGGGGATGGTCGCTGTGGATGATTCGTCGGGCTCGAGTACCCAACTCGTCAGCGATAGCAACATACACAATAATCCTCGAGACACTACTGTAACAATTATGTTCAGAGATTGCGGGCATGCAGGGCCCAAGCATGCCCGGCAGGTGTGACATTTTTTCTCCCGAGTTCTCGACAGCCATTGGGAGGGGGGGGGGGGGGGCTCATTAGGACAGAGCAGTGCAGGAAAAACAACATGGTAGCTGGCAAACGGCGGCGTTATTGACAGTTCATGCAGCTCTGCTCGCACTTCTTAAATAGGACACATTTGCATGTTCCACTTAATTGTTTTCTCACAACGGCAGACACCTAACATTATTTATTTTTATCTTTTTGACTTTGGAGAATTTTACCTTCAGATGATGGATTTCTTTCCTCCTTTGCTTTTTGTGCGTTTGCTTTTCTCTCCGTATCGTTTCCAATATCGTCCGTATCGTTACTCAGAAAAAAGGGAAATACAACATATTCCACTGTAACTTTGAGGGGGGAGGGAGGGGGAGTGAAACAGAATCTTCCCCACAAAGCAGAACTATTTGGCTTTGGCTTCCGTCGGCTGTGTGCCACGTATAGATCTCCCCTCCGGGTGTGGACTCCAGACCCTTCGATCGCCGACGCGGTAAAATCGATTACATTACGCCCCGTTCTGCCTCCTTTTCCATCTATCCTTCTTTGCACAGCGGGAAAAGATAAATGCAAAAGAAAAGCCGACGCAGACCCCCTCCTTCACCGCAGAGAGGAGAACTCTGTCCTCCTCCGTCCCCGCCTCGCGTGCGACGGCCCAACTGTTTAAAACCGTGGTAAACACTGCACCGCGGTGGAATATTTCACCGCACGTTTTCACCGTGTGGTCCGATTTGCATTTTCCCCCACCCCCCCCCACTCATCAATCTTATTGTTTGACTAAAAAGCGGTGCCTCTTGTGTCCCCCCCGGCAGGGTTCAGCCGGGCGGCCCTGCCTTTCGGCCTGGTCCGCAGGGAGCTGTCGTGCGAAGGGTACTCCATCGACCTCCGCTGCCCGGGCAGCGACGTCATCATGATCGAGACGGCCAACTACGGCCGCACCGACGACAAGATCTGCGACGCCGACCCGTTCCAGATGGAGAACGTCAACTGCTACCTGCCCGACGCCTACAAGATCATATCGCAGAGGTAAAGCGCCGGCGACGGGAGGGATCTTCTTCCTCCCCCTCTCTCTCCCTCCCTCTCGTTCTCTCTCTGTCCAACGCCGCCGCACACAAGGAAACGTTTAACTCACCGCCCAGCTCAAGCAGCCGCCTGCATGCAGGACAATTAATCAACATCCCACACCGGTTCTGTCTTCTCTCTATCTCCTCCTTGGCTTAGATGTAGACAGATGCAGATTGTGGCCCTTAGAGAAACACGGCGAGCGCGCGCGGATTCTTCTCGCAGGCGGTGACATTCCAAAAAGCCTCTTCGCCCCAGCTGCGCGTCGTCGCCGCTGCTCGAGTCAGTAATCGGTGTAGACTCGAGAGTCACACCGAGACCCTTTTTAATTCCCCCCCGTCTGGAACATTGGGCTTGCTTTGTGGCCCTTGTACCTGCACGAAAGTGGCTGAGCCTCCGGTGGCGAGCGCTGCACAACATCGCGCCTTTTCATCCTCGCAGGATGCCGTCAAAGCGGCTTCGACTCGGCTGCTGCTTTACCCCCCGGAGGTGTGTGTGTGTATTTTTAAAGTGCACCAGGTGAACCATTCAAAGTGTCGTTCATCTTCTAATGCTCAGCTAAGGCCCCCTTAGGCTAACGCCTGAGCGTCAGCGCCCACCCCTCCCATCCACTCTTGTATTTACCCTCGTGGTGCAGAACTGCAGGATGGATCAGGTCGAGTACACCTGATGGGGTCCGTGCCCCCCCCCCCCCCGGGTTGCCACCTGGCCTTTGACTCCGCCGCCGCTCTCTTCCCGGGGCTATAAGCTCGTTCCCGCCGGAAAGGTCCCCCGATGCGGGGTGGAAACCAACGGCCTGAAAAAAATCTTCACCCCCAGCAAAAATTATTTTAAGAGGCTTCTGTTTCCCTCGGGTTGGAAAATGCGGTTAAAAAAAAAAAAAAGGAACTC